GATGAAAATTATAACAATAATTATTAAATATAACGATCGTGCAATATCAAATAATTTATCTTCATAACCTTTAAAGGGATCTGTTACAGAATTTGAAGTTGTGAACTGCATTAAGAAAAAAAATGCCAGGTAGAAATTTGCCTAATTTAATCATAAATAATAGAATGTGTTAATTTAAACTTTATTTATAAATATTTTAAAGATTTTTTAAAATTACCAAAGAGAACCAATTAAAGATTAATTGTAAACTATTATAAAAAAATTGAATTTGTAATAATATTTTGCAATATAGTGGTTGTCCAGAGTTCCAAATATGAGTAAATTTAACAATAGAATAGAAAGCTGTAAAGAAAAATCCATTCAACCATTGATGACGTTGGGAAATAAATTCTGGAACGTTGTCTAGAACATCAGTTTCTGCTTTAGTTGACTAAGCAATTTTAAATTACAGCAAATAAACAAATTTGTAGGTTTTATAATTAATTTAAATTAATAATATTTAGGTTTGTTACCTTAATGTATTTTAATATCCATTTTTCATGTTTTTTAGTGACAAGCTCAAAGCTTAAAATACGATCTTCTGCCAGATACATGTTTGCTTCAACAATATTAGTCTTAGAAGCACCAGAAACATCACCTTTAAAGTATGCTTCCAAAGGTCCATTCATCAATGCTTCATATCGGTATACAGAGAAAGTGCCTGGTAATACTGAGATGTAACTAAAAACAGATTCTGAAGGCTTATCTAAGATATTAGACATTTTATATTCAAAGTTTTGAGATGTGACTAAAGTATTAAGTAGGTTTCTACATTTATGACCAAGGTCAACTTTGATCTCTCCACAAGCACCACCAACATAAGAATCACGATTAAAAGCTGAAAATATTGATATATATCAGTGAGAAATAATCGGCAAGAAAATGATGAGATTAGCCGATACAAAATTTGGTTTTTTGCTTAAAATTTCTAAACTTAAGTTGTCCAATACTTTTTTATTAAAAATAAAAAATTGTATTAAAAACATAAATTTCAAGTCTCAGCATCAGCCAACCTCATATCAGATAAAATTAAAAAGTATACCTTTCCACAAATGGTATATTGAGGTTTTTGAAGGTTTTGTGACCACATCAAGTAAAATACAAATATTTGGGTTCAAACAAGTAGCAAAGACATTGAAAGACCATCGATGAGAATTTAGTTTTTTTGCATTTTTTTCTTTTAAACAAAATATAATCTGTACTGGTAGAATATTGTGAATTTTAAAATCATTATCGACCATTAATTGAGTTGTATATTTGAAAAGATGTGCAGTGACATCTTTTTTTCTGATATGATTTTGCAAAATTCCATCTTGATAGTATTTCATGGCACTCAGAACATTTAGAGTCCGTTTATTGATTTTATTACAACCATCTGCTACAATTAATACGACTATTTTTTTCTAACCTTCACTTCCCGGCCATTTTAAACAAACATAATCCATATTTTTTATGACAGAAGTCATTGTTTTAATAAAGAGTGTATCATGTTCATTATACATTGTAATAACAATTATAATTTCAGTTTGGCATTTAGATATAATTTGTCAGATTGAATACTTCTCTTCAACAAACTCGTCTGGATCGCATATGATAGCAGTATATCTTATAAATTCAAATTTATTATCGGAAGTGAATTTTACTTGATTAGGTACAGGATGGTCGAATTGCAAGTTTCCATATTTAGTAAGCTAAGAAGATGCGAATAAGAATAAATAAAAAATTTAACAAAATTTGTGAGGTTTGCAATCAAAATTATGATACCTTCTGTTTTTTAACTTTTATTTTTATTTATATTCATGTACAAATTAGAAAGAAGCTATAGTTATTTCTTATATTTATATAAGTTTAAATTCAAAAATTTTATATAAATAATACCTCTTCGCATTTTAGTTATCTTTGATTCTGAATACATGCTAAGAAATATAGGTTTATTCTTATTTACAGTATTTATATTTTTAATATTTTATCTAATTTTTCTACCATCTCTTTAAGTTCAAAATTTGCAAGTTTTATTGATATGTTATTGTTGTTTTTTTTTTTAAATAATGTATCAATTGGAATATAAATACATTCCAATTAACAATAATAACTCAATTAAATCGGCCTTGCGAAAGAATTGATTTTCAGAATTCAATTCAAGTAAAATTTAATACTTGAAACATGAATATCTAATCTTTGATATTTTATAGTCACTGTTTTTTCAATGTATTTTTATGCATTTGGGTCTAAACGAATATATTAAAACAAATCTAGAGACTCTACCAATAATGCGATTTGCTATTGATTAGATATATTTACAAAATTGGCTATACAGAAGAAGTTGATAAGTTAAGTTTGAAATTGCAAGCTTGTAATATTTAAAATCAAGTTAATCCTGCATTGTGATATTCATAAAATATATATCTGAAAAAGCTAAAGACCCAAATTAACCTTAATTTTGGCAAAAATGATTATTATGATTATTTACATCTTCAGATTAAAAAAAAAATGAAAAATATATTCGAAAAAAAAGAAAATTCAATTTCAAAGATGGTTCATGAGATTTTTCAGCAAAGCTAAATTTAAAATCGTCAAGTCACGTGCATTATCACGTGATATCATTTTACTTAAACAAATAATACTTACTTCAATTCAAAGTTAATTAATCTAAGAGATTTGGTATCACAAAATTCTTGCATTGTCTCAAAATGAGCATTTTCCTGGTAAATTTGAATTGACAAACTTTTATGATAAATGATTCACTGCTACAAAATAATGCCCAGGTGTATTTAAAATAATGCTGCTTGTTTTTTTTTTGTTTATTTTAATTGGAACATTTTCTACAATACGATCGATTTATAAAAGATAATGTTGATTAACAAAAGATATTGTCCATGAAAATACAGATATAAAAAATAATGAAAAATAATATCCAGCTTGGAACCTGCACCTGCCACAAAAATCTTTTAAAGCAAAATAATTGTAAAAATTGAATTAATTTTTTTTATTCATTTGCATTATTGTAAAACCTATTTATTTGTTGGCAAATTTTCTAAAAATAATGAATCCTATTAAAATATAATTTTACCCCAATTGAAAATACAGATTTACTGTCTAATCTCAAAAGCAGTAAGAGAATTACTCTTTTCATTCCAAATGATTATTTACCAGTTTTGGTACAAAATAATGAGACTGTAAATTCACAAAATATGATAAAGGAACTTCCGTGATCAAAAGGTTTAAATATATCTTGATTTATTTTAAACACAGAAACAAACAACTCTTTAACAAATAAAACTACAAAAAAACCTCCAAATTGTTTTCTTCTATTTCGAAATGATATGTATGATATTGTTAAGGCCAAGTACCCACAATTTAGCAATCATGATATCTCAATTTTTGTCGGTTAATTGTGGAAAGAATTGAGTCAAGAACTTAAGAAAGAGTATCGACAACGTGCTAAAGATATCAAATTAGAATTTCAAAAATGGAATAGTGGTAAAAGCACTTATAAGAAAAAATTAAAATCAACAGAGAGTCTTTTTAAAAGAAAAAAATTCGATAACCA